AAAATAAATATTATAAATAATATAATATTTATAATTTATTTATTCTTACCAAAATGTTTTGATACTTCATTTTGTCCATTTGAAAAACTTCCCAAATCTTCTTAGCAGAAATATATCATTATATTAGTTTTTCAATTGAAGTTGGTGGCATTGTTGTTGATATTGGTGTTAGTGTTAATGTTAGCATTGTTATTAGCAGTGTTGTCATGGGACATGGACATGGACGTTGGACGTCCGGGACGGGACAGTCCGTGTCAGTGTCCAGAAATTTTTATGTCCCGGACATTTTGTCCAAGTCCGCAATCACGTGACACTGATTAAATTTTATTTCTCCGGGATGGAACTTTATAAACCTAGTATTTACTTTACAAAACTAATTGTCTTTGAGAAGAGTTTCCAATGCCCATTTAGCAGAGTTGTCAAATATTTTTATGTCCGGGACATTTGGGCATATTTTTAGGTATCTTATATTTTCATTGGCTGATCATCACATGAGATCGAACTAGAAGCGCGCTGATTTTTTTTTGAATGCACATACTACTTTATTAAAACTGATGTCAGTCAAGCGGACATTTTGTAGTATATGATATTGTATATGCGTGTCCAAGTAGGAAAGTTAGGACATATTAGAGACAAGAATATAGTAAATATATCGCTGTATGCGAGACAGAGATGTAAATGTATAGCATAGTCCGGTTTCCTATCAAAAAAGATAAGTTAGAATTTTTTTTTCTTTTAATAATTAAACATTAATAAAATAAAACTTAATTTCTCCCACTGGTCTTTAAAATCACTTGGCACTTTACTATTAGGAAAAAGTGAGGCAAGGTTGTCTTATTCCTTGGCTTTGCTTATTTGTTCGGGTGTTGGCTGTTCTCCTGCTGGGTGTTTTTCCTTACTGATTGCTATTGGGGTGCTGAATTTTCTTTTATTAATTTTCTCTTGTATTTTATCTTTAATTAAAGGATGGTTGACTAATTCCTGTTCGAATATTTGATAATTTGGATTTTCTTGGTTAGTTGGCATATGGATTATTTAGGTTTAATTTCCTCGGGTTCCTCGGTTAGAACATAGACTGGTAATTGGACTTGCTTATCAAGGATAGCATCAATGTAAGGCTAACTCATTGGTTAAGTTAGTTAGGGTTTGTTTATCCTTGGCAAGTTCTCCCTCATCATGTTTCTCTTGGTTGTCCTCTAATTTAGTAATATAAAATATTTATTATCTTTATATTAGTATCTTCAAACCTTGTATTGATCGAAGGTAAGTCTATAGGAAAAAAATATGAATTTTTTTTATAAAAATTATAACTACTAAATAAAAATTATTCACCTTTAGATTTACAGTATAACGGACCGGATTGTATTGATTGGAGGTAAGCCTATAGGAAGAAAATGTTAATTTTTTTATAAAAATTATAACTACTAAAATAAAAATTATTCATCTTTAGGAGATTTACAGTATAACGGACCGGATTCTTCATACCTTGTATTGATCGGAGGTAAGCATATAGGAAGAAAATGTTAATTTTTTTTTAAAAAATTATAACTTAAATAAAATTTATTTACCTTTAAAGTATAACAGACCGGATACTTCTTACCTTGGATTGATCAGAGGGAAGGAAATGTTAATATTTTTCTAAGTTAATTCCTTTTGAATTTGCCTGCCAACCCGCGATATGTATGATATTTAGCTTTTTAATTAATTGTATTTTTCAAGAGTAAAATTTATTTAATAAATGAAAAAAAAAAATTATAATACAATTAGAATGGTAAATTTAACTCATTTTTAAAAAGAGTTAACAATTCCCATTTAGCATTTAAGTCAACAGCAGGATGAACAATATTATCTATAATATTATCTTTAAAAATATCTTCATCATTTTCATCGAAAATGCTTTCCCCTTCTAGCATTTCTGCCCAATTTTGAAGATATTCATTAAACTCATTTTCCAATTGAAAATCCATTTCGTTATCTGATTCATCTTGTACTATTTCATGTTCTTCTTCTATTAATATTGCCGCTTCTTCATTTGTAATATTTCTTGAATTATTAAAATTATCGGAATCTTGATCATTATTAATATCCAAAATAGGTTCGATAGAAGTTGGTTGAGAAGCGTTATTACTAAGACGATGTTTATATGTGATATCAGCTCTTAATTTACTAATTTCAAGAGCTTTAGAAGACTATATGCAATAAGAAAATAAATTAGAATATTAGAATATAATAATAATATTTTATAAAACATTAACATACCTTTAATCGATTCCGACGTTTTGATTGTATAAATCCCATACAACTCCAAAGCCTTTCCACAGAAGCTGCATTTACACATATACCAAATATCCTACAGGCTACAAAACCCAGTTCATTTGTTGAAACACTAACATAACACCAATAACGCCAAATATCACTATTAAATTGCTTATATGAATCAAGATCATATGGATATTTAGCCAACCGAAAATCATCAAATTCACGGAGAATGCATTTTGGTTTTTTTCCAGACCATGCATGATAATAATATATGAGCCATTTACAAAATTCTGCATAATTAATATCAGGAATTGTGTTATTAAATTGTTGCATTCTATACTCTGGATGTAATAAAAAAGATAATAAAAGAAGCGGCTGCTCCCATTGTTTCCAGCGTTTTTCCAATCGGCTAATTAAATGTGTAGATAAAGTATTATCTGAATAATTAAACCAAAATTGAATTAAATAACCCATGCTATGCAGAACTTGAAATAAACGTGCTTTATCACGTTGTAATATATTAAGTAGTCTACAATATGGATCTAAAATTTTACTAATTGTTGCAATATTTTTCCAAAATGTAGTAGAATTAATAATTTCAAATATATTGCGTGGTAAAGTTAGAATTTCACCTGGTCGACAAGGCTTAGCAAATGGTGGTTCATATTTAATTGCTAATATCTAATATTATATATTTTTTATTAATAATTATATATACTAATAAATTTGCTAAAATAGAAGAATATTACTTACTTGCAATGCCTTTTGAGTTTTTAAAAGGCTAGTACACATATTAAAAAGACTGTTCCATCGCGTTTCCCCTGGAACAGATATAGCAATATATTTTTGATAGGTTTCATATTGCTGATCTCGTAAATGAGCAATAAAAAATTTATGATTTGCATTTTTGAAATAAATAGCAAGCCGAATTGCACAATCAATGGATGTTTTAAATTCAACACATTCTTTGAAAATTTCTCCCACACAAAGGTTAATCTGGTGAGCAAAACACGGTAAAAAAATAATTGATCTATTGGTAAGTCTTAATCGTCGTCTTATATATAAAAAAAAAAAAAAATTATTATAAAAAATACCATACATAAATTAAAAAAAAAAAAGTAATTTCAATATACCGAGCTGCCGCATATGTTGATGCGCTATCAGTAACAACAGCACAAATTGTAATTTCTTTATTTTTCAATTCAGAAAGCATTAATTCTGTTTTTTTGATTACTTCAACATAATTTTCACGTTCAGAACCAATATCAACTGCTTTCCATACATAAGGTTTTCCTTCTGAAGTTATTAAAACTGAACCTAATAATTGCTCATTGTTTACATTCATCCATCCATCAAATGTTAAAGTTACACCAACTGGATCTTCTTTAAGTGCAATATCCATTATCATATCTACTTCAGCTATAGCTTGTTTCAAAATTCGACCACCAAGAGTACGACGATCAGGTAATTTAAGAAAAGGATTTAAAAAATTAAATAATTCTTTTGCTTCAGAATTATTAACCCATGATAATGCCCAACCACAAGAAACCGTTAGTCGAAGTATTAATATATAAAATTTTTGTAAATCCTCCTTAGATAAAGGTCTGACAATATAATTATCCATAGGTCCAAAAGATGAAGACCGAATAATTATTTTATTAGAAGAATTTGACGAAGTTAAAGAAGGTTGTAGTGACATAGAATCTGAAACTATAAAAAAATTAGCTTAATACATTAAATTAACTAATTATAAATTATTAAATATTAAAATTTACATGGTCTCTTGTTTAGATTTTGAGTTATATTTAATTGAAAGATTTCATTTCTTTCTTCTGGAGTTGTTTTATTAATAAAATTAGGACATTTCTTAAAATGAAGTAGTATACGGTCTTTTTTATTTGGAAACCATATTTCACGACCTTTTTCTTCTCCTAATACTTCTATACATGACTTACAAAATGTTTTTAAATTACATTTATTAACTTTAATCTCAGTTCTTACAATATATTGTGCTAATAAAGAAGGAAGCGGCATAGTAAAAAAAAAAATTTGAACTTAAAAATTTTAATGTCCGGCGGACATACAAATTTGTCCCGGACAGTTTTAAATATATATGGACATGTCTGTTAGACAAATTATCATGGGACATTTAAGCGGATATAAATCTTGGACATGTCCGGGACATGTCCCTGTCCATCCAAAATAAGGCGGACAATGTTCATTGTATAACACTGCATTAAGGTAAACCTTTTGAAAGTGATTTTTAGTGGTTTTCTAACTGTTTTCTTTATTTTTTTCTTTACTTTCTTTAGAAATACATTAAGGTAAGCATTTCGGATGTGATGTTTTGGTGGTTTTCTAACTGTTTTATTTATATTTTCTTTACTTTTTTTTAGAAATACATTAAGGTAAGCCTTTTAGAAGTGATATTTGATGGTTTTTTAACTGATTTCTTTATTTTTTCTTTATTTTTTTTAGGAATACATTAAGGTATTCCTTTTAGAGATGATATTTTGGTAGTTTTCTAACTGTTATCTTTATTTTTTCTTTACTTTTTTTAGAAATACATTAAGGTAAGCCTTTCATAAGTGGTTTTTAGTGAGTTTTCTAACTGTTTTCTTTATTTTTTCTTTACTTTTTTTAGGAATACATTAAGGTAAGCCTTTCAGAAGTGATATTTTATGGGTTTCTAACTGTTTTCTTTATTTTTTCTTATCTTTAAAAAATCAAATGTATCTTTTTGAATAAAATATAATATAATATATATTCTTTTTGAGTAATTTATTATGTAATAATAAATAAAATTATAAATCATAAATAAATAAAAAATGTGTTTTATTAGTTTCAATTTTATAAATAGTAGCTTAATTATTTTTGCTGATTGTTGATCGATTTTAAGCTGATTTATGCTAAATTTTGATCAATTTTTAACATAAATATTGATTGGTAACCGATTTTTTATTTATTCAAAGTGCTAATTTTTTGGTAATTATCGGCAGAATAAGACTATATTTTGGCTCTTTTGGCATTTTAAATGTGACAAATTGTATTATTTTGCCTAGTGATATATCAAATAACTACCTATCATTAATGTCAAATATTTTTTTGTGTGACATCTGAATTGAGCAACATCGGCTATGACTAAAAATGCTAATTGTTTTGGTAATGATCAGCAAAAATTAGATTATATTTTGGCCAACATTTGACACTTTAAAAAAGTGACAAAATGGATTATTTCTACTAGTGAATAGATTTTTTCCAAGAATTTTTACTTTAAAAAAGTGTCTGTTCAACAGCGACTACAGCTTAGTTTGCGAACAAAATAAAAACCTCACCTTTCAAAAATATTCCTCTTTTTGTTCTTCACACCCCTTTCCACATAAAAAATTTTGAAATAGTCTAAACTGTGTTGTTTTTTTGTTAAAATATTTTTTCTTCACCTCTTTTCAAAAATTTTTTTCCGTTTTTTCTCTTTTTCTTTTTTGCCTACAAAAAGTGAGCATCAAGGGGTATTCGAACCAACGATCATGATCGACATACTTTAGATAAACAAATCTCACGTGATGATCCCCCTTTCCCTTTCTAAATATTACACTCTCTTTTAATTGGCCTCTGCCTTTCTGCAGATCCTCTGTCATTGAAGATCACATGCAAATTTAGCGACATTATTCTACATAGTGTGGTGAAGCTTGCTTCCAGAACGATCCTAATCCCTTGGTTTGATTGGCGCCCGAAAAACCGTTGATTCTTTCCTTGTCTTGGCTAGCTGGCTTAGTTCGGTTGGTAGTTATCCAAAGTGATTTCACCCTTAGATCCTTTCTCGCTGACCCTTTGTGGATGTAGCTTAATTTTGTAATAGATTCCTTGTGATATTTTTTCTGTACTTATGAATCTATAAGTATGAAGAGCCTTTGTTTGGACCTAGTTACTTAGACGCACCTTCTTCTGCCGGGTGGTCGCTTTAAACTGAAATTGACTGGACTTTAACTAGGACTTATAAAGTCATTATTTTTATTTGTTTGAAAATTTCTATTTGTACCAATTCCCTACTTCGGGTGTTATTTTTAGTGTTAGATTTTTCTCTTGAGGGAAGTTAGGATTCAACGGATATTTAAAAATTAGATGCTTTCTGATACTTTATTTCCACCCTTTCAGGGGGTGGCAGTGATCAGTCGACTCAAACGAGTTTGAAATAGAACTACAGGGAGTAAGTTGCGTATTTTAGTATTTTTTTAGATTCTTGTCTTTAAATTTTCAATACAAAATAAAGTACTGCGGCTAGACTGCATCGTTAACAAAAAAAAATTATTTCTACTAGTAAATATGAGCTTTTAAATTAAATATAATTTTTTCATACTAGAGAGCATATTAAGAATTTAGTCAAGTTTCTTATTTATGTTATTATTTTTATTAAAATTATACATAAAGTTATCTAATGTATTATCATTAAAGCAATTATTCTTATTTTTTCTTTACTATTTTCATTAAAATTATACATAAAGTTATCTAATGTATTATCATTAAAGCAATTATTCTTATTTTTTCTTTACTATTTTCAGAGAGTATATATATTAGAGTAGTTTAAATAAGAATCAAATGTATTAGTATAATCATTTTTATTAAATCATTATTCAGATAATCTGTAATAATAATTTTCTAGATAAAAAAATTTAAATATATAAAATAATAGCATCTTATGCATTCCAATTTATTATTTTTTTTAAATTACCTTTCAACTCTATTTATATTCTCTATTAATAAAATTAAGGCTTAAAATATCAAGTTCTAAAATTTTTTTTTCCTTTTACTATTTATTTATATTCATCTAAATACTATAAATACATTTGTCTGCATTTTTGTGTCTATAAAGAATGTAATTTAACTGAAAATAATTTATTTTATTTTATTTTATTAAAAAGAAATTTATATATTATATAAATTTTTTTCCAAAATAAAGTTATATTTATTATATTAAATGTTTATAAAACTTTGGTTTTATTAAATTTCTAAAGCTAAAATAATTGGTAATTACAATTGATAATTTATTTGAAGAATTTAATTGGATAATATCATAAATTAATTTATCATTTTTAGTAAAATAACTAAATAAAAAAAATTCAAAACATTTTTGAATATTATTATTTTTATTATTTTGTAATTTATTAATTTAATAAAAAATACAATAAATACATTTAATAAAAAAATAAATATATTTTTTATAAGTTAAAAAAATGTATTATTTAAGTAGATTTTTAAATTGCTTAAATAAATATAAAAAAAAGTATAAAAAAGTAATTATGAATTAAATTAAAGAAGGCTATAAACTCAATTAATTCCTATCTAATTTCAAAAGAAAATTATGCTAATTTATTATTATATATTAAAATAATAAAAGTAAAAAGATATATTTATTTATTTTTTTATTTTTTATTTTTCTTTAAATACTTTACAAATTTTTTATTTATTTTTTTTACTTTTTATTATTAGCGTAAATATTTATTAGGCATGATCATAAATTAAAATTTTGTAACTATTAATATCAAACATGTATTGGTCAGAAATATTATAATTTTAATATTTTCTTTAAATACTATACTTTGCAAATTTTTTATTTACTTGTATTTAATAAAATCTTTATAAATAAAAAAGAAGAAAATATAAGTTAGAAGTTAAAATCTTAAATATTAATTATTAAAGAGACAAATAATACTTTAACTATTTTATTTAATTACAAGATATTTTAGTTTATTTAAATATAATAATTTTTATTTTATAATTTATTATTTAGAAATCAGGAATAATTATAATAATATTATTAGTATAATAATATATTTTATTAGCTTTTATTATTTTTACATAAAAAATATATATAATTTATAAAATTATATAAATTATATAAATAAAATAATAAAAATTGTGAATAGATTCATTGTTATAATATTTATTAATGAATTTATATTAAAAATTATCTGTATAAAAAATTATGTAAAAAAATATCACTACATATGTAATTTATTTATTATTATAATAATTATATCAAAATTTTAAATATATAAATTATTTACATTAATTATAATCTATATAAAAAATTATATAAATAATTTGGAATTTAATATAAAATCAATTCATTATCGTAAAAATTATATTAAAATTTATGAAATGTAATATATTCATATAGATTAACTTCACATAAATAGTTATTCATAAATTTTTTAATTTATTTATAATCATAAAAATTATATAAAAGTAATATTTTATAAATATCATATTAATAATATAAAAAATATCATATAATTATAATATATTCATAATTTATTCATAATATAAATAGTTATGTAATATATATATATGTATAAATTGTATTCTTACATATTATATTATAAATAATATAAAATAATTTTTAATAATATTATGTATATTAAACCTCTTGATGAAATTAGATATAATATCTTATATATAATATGAAAATGATACCAGTAAAATCAAGTAATAAATAATAGTAAATCATGTAATTTATAATGTAATTTTATTAGAATACTACTATTATCTTTTTATATATTTGTTTTATATAAATAAGTAACTTTAAATCATGCAAATATAGGAATAAATAAATTAGTTTTTAATTATTTAAAAATAACTGACTTTATTTTATCATTCATTTTATTTTTATTCTTTTGATTTATTATTTATTTCATATTTTCTTTTTTATTTTCTATTTTACAAATAAACTTACTTTTGAAATATAATTATCTTCTGAAATATTATATAATTATTTTATTGAGTATTTAAATACATTATCTTTTTAAAAATTATAGTCAAACCTTAATATATTAAACTCTTAATAAAGAAAATTTTTAAACTAAATATATTAAATATATCTTATTATAATAAACCAGCTGATTAAATTTTTTAAAGAATTTATTATTATCTTATAATAAAGTTAAGATTCAGATCTTAAGTATTTGTTATATTAAAAGTTTACTGTAATATTTATAAAAACAATCATAATTGTAAGAATTATACATTAATAATAATTTAAATATTTAATTAATTGATTATTTATAAATATAAGAATTAATTTATTAATGATAAAACTTATTTCTTAAACTGTAAAGCAGAAAAATTTGCCTATAAAATTAAAAAAAAGGTTAATTTCTTTATAAAATATTAAATATTAATTTTAGTAATATTATTATTATATTAAAAATATAGTTTAATATATATTTTATTGAATTGATTATTTATAAATATAAGAATTGATTTGTTAATGATAAAACTTATTCCTTAAACTATAAAGCAGAAAAATTTGCCTATGAAATTAAAAAAAGGTTAATTTCTTTATAAAATGTTAAATATTAATTTTAGTAATATTATTATTATATTAAAATATAGTTTAATATATATTTTATTGATTTTATTAATATTATTATTATATTAAAATATATATTTTATTTATTTTATTAATAAATATTTTAAGTTTTTTAAAAGATTTTTAAAATATTTTAATTTTAAAATTAAGTTTCAAAATTTTATTAGATTACAAAAATAATGATTTGCTAGTTATTATTATAAATCTCGTTTCTTTTATCGAGATTGTAACATTTGGTTGATTCATTGCCTAAATTTTAAATTTTTTCCAAAAATATATATTATATTTCCTTTAAAAAATAATCGACCAATGATATCATGGTTGATCTCAAAATAAATGACATCACGTCATATGTTTATCAACAATCAAATCTTTTTTTCTTTCCATTTTGCTGGAATTTTTTTGTTCTTTCTATTTTCATAACTTTTTCTAAAAATTTGCTAAAGTTGTTTACAGGTAAGCTGGTTTGCTTTTTGCTTAAGGTCTACTGAGTAGCTTCTGTTTGTTTAGATCTGCTGATTCTGGAAGAGGAATCGGTTATGTACTTTTTTTAAACAAACGAAGTAAAATTAGTTATCGATAGCCATCATTATTTTAGTTGTTTTCATGATAGTGCGACACCTAGATGAGCCGGTTACTCTATATTGGAGAGCACACTGATTTGTTCTTCATGACGAGGCGACGTGTTGCCATGGGTGGTGAATCACCTAGATGAGCCGGTTACTCTATATTGGAGAGCACACTGATTTGTTCTTCATGACGAGGCGACGTTGTTGCCATGGGTGGTGATTGAATACAACTCATTTAATGATAACTATTATGGCCGTTCTACATGATAGCGCTACCACTTTGCCGGTGGGCCAGTTCTAAGATTGTAGGATATGCCATTTGGTGACTATTATTTGCTTTTGTTACTCACAAATCATTTTTATTATTCATTCTTTTAATAGAGCTATTGAACGAAAGTCAAGAAAAATATGAATTAGCAGAAAGAATCGCAAGTTCACAACTTGAGTCCAAAAGGTTAATGCACATCAAATGTTTGAAATTTTTGAATTATCAAATATTCTCTTAAATGAGGAAAAAACCATTAAATCTGGTTATAGAACGGACGTATTTATATAAAACAATGGTAAGAAATTTAAAGTATCAATGGTTTCTTTTTTATTTATTTCGGATATTTTAATAGAATCTAGATGCATTACAGAGGGCAACGGAACGTCCTTGTCGCGATGATCATAACATCATATTCATATTTTAGGAAAATCGATCTCTGATATGCGATTATATCATCGAACTTGCCTTTCAGTCATGATTTCTATCCTCAATTTTACTTCGATCATCACCGAATATTTTTCATAAGTTGATCCAGATTTTCGTCACGCTAAAAAAACACAAATAACAATATTAACTGAATTGTGGCGAATTCTAGTAAAACAGTAATCATGAGATCTGTAACGTGATTTGCGTAGTATGTAAATCATTACATCAAAAATCTTTGAACCAAAGATTTGAAAAGCGAGTACTTACTTTATTTTCCGTTCGAGTCTGTAGTTTTTAATCGGGTCGATTTTTTGTAAAACAAGGAAATAATACTCGCTATTACAAATTGGAATTGGGGATTCATACACGCCGAGCCACGCAACAAAACAGCATGGTTCTATCTTAAAGAATTAATAATGTTGACAATAATGCAAGTGGTGAAAAACAAAATATCAAGGAACGTACATGTACATCAAACGTGACATATATTTAATTCAAGGTAAGTTCCTTAAGATATTTTAATTTTATGATTAATGTACCTGCTGAATTAACTAGTCCTAGGAAAATGTCTGAACGAAAAAAAAAAAGGCTAGAATGTGGGTTCCGAAATATTTGCAGAATATAAAAGTTGTCGTTTGGGAGCTACGTTTGAATGTGAACGACTGGTTATAACGGGTTTAGCCTTTATATCACTTGGCAAGTGTACATAGCTTTCCAACCAATCACTTTTTATTTTATTTTATTTTTTCTTTTTAAGATACATATGTAAAGGCGTTCGAGATATGCATTTAATCCAATTTCTACCATTTGTAACCAATATAAAATTCTTACAGATTCTAGTAAATTCTTTTTGATTTGGGGTTTTGATTTGATCAACATTATCGAATTCTAATACCAACTGAATAACTAAAAAAAATTAGTCACTTCATAATTCGAGGGACTTTTGCGATCTTTACTCCGATTACCTTCCAATACTTTTCTTCCTGTATTCAATTAACTTTTAGCTAGTCTGACGTGCGCTCAACTTATTTTATAAAATATATAATTTTTATTATTCGTGGTTAGTCCGATTTAAATTTAAAATATTTGGGAACGCAGATACAAATATTTATTACCCATTTAACTACTGCCTCAAACACAGTAACAAAATTCGGCATCTCTTCCCAATACTTGTTATAAGATTTCATATACATGTGAGATTTAAATTTGGTTGTGATTCAAAAGTTAAACTTTCGAATAATTTAAAGTAAACCAATCACATCAGGAAATTTCTAAGTTAATCAAAGTTGTATCATTTTCATTATATTTTTGATTTTCGGAAGTCTCGTTTGAGCTGTGCATGTTTAATTACTGAAGATTGTGGATCGAATAATTTTATTGTATTTTCACCATCATTTTCATCATCCTTATGTAACATATTATATAACTCTAAATGAACATGTTCGATATCAGGTTTTTTCACAGGTTCTGTATCCCTACAGGAAATATAAAGTTCACAATAATACGGCGTATTCGGAATTACTTTTTCTTTGTCTCCTTTAATTATATTTAAAGATAATGTTGGATCATAGGAAATATTTTTAAATGGTGATATCTCTCAAAATAAAGTCCCAAGACTATAAATGTCAGTTTTAGCCGAATATGATGGAAGTTGATTATTTGAATTAAATAACTCTGGCGACAAATATGGAATTATTCCAAAAACATCATTATGGATATTTGATTTGTTTGCGTTTCCATACTTTTAGAGTTTCCAAAATCAGTATCTTTGCACTTCCTTTATATCACTACGTTTTTAGAATGTACAGAATGAATTATAATTAGATTTTTTTTTTAAACCAAATTATCGACGTATCATACAAGATCCCTATGCAATCTATGCAATACGTTAATTCCATGTAAATAGTAATCCTTTTGTAACATCAAAAGCTAGCTGTAACTTTTTATCCCATTCAAGAGTTCGAAAATTTTCTGTTAGATATGTCACGACCATCAGCATATTCCATAACAATGCCAATGCAATAAATGTTGCCTTCTGGTACTATTAATTCAAAGGATTCATTTTAATTATTTAAACATAAGATCATATCATATTTACTATACTATTTTATTATTACTCTAGTTTGTATTTGTATTTCGTGTTGAATTGCATCAATGTTGTCTAAGATAAGTCTCTTATAAACAACTTCTTTGTTCACTTTCTTCCAATATGTTTTATATACAACTCCAAAACGACCCGTACCTACCGACTCGACTAAATCATTCCATTTTATATCTGTGATAAATTTATTTTTAATAGATTTTTTTATCCAAATTTGTGATGGTAATTCATCATTTTGGAATGTATCTGTTAGGTAAGATATTTTACAGTAAAGATACATATGTTTATTAAAGAGAGTACTTAAATTAATACCTTGTTCTGCAAGCTCACGATATTCTTTTGATAAAGGAGAAGCAAAAGAAGACAACCTTTTTTGCAGTAATTTTCATAATATCATCACAAAATGTCTCGTAAGGAGTTTTTTCTTCAGCTATTTCCCAAAGGAGTACACCAAAGCTATAAATTTCACACTTTGTATCATATTTTTCTTTAACAATAATTTTTCAGCAGCGCAATATCTATCTATCGTTGCTTTTAGATTTCTTGTTAAATTATTTATTGATCTACTTGCTTCAAAATTCGCAATTTTTGCTATATCGTTATCGGTAATTAAGATATTCTCAGCTCTGATGTCTGTCGAAGTGTGTTATTCACCAATAACAAATAGAATCTATTAGAAATAAGTAATTTTTCTTTATGGACCATATTTTTTGATAATCACGTAAATTGGCATATTCAGCCTATTCCGTCGCAAAATAAATTTTATCAGCATAAGTTAAACCATGAAATCGAATAATAAAATGACATTCTTTCAATTTCTTTAAAATTAGGTCTTGATGTTTAAAATTAACTTTTGTTCGTTAATACTTAGATTAACCGCAAACTTTAATGCGACATAATCATTCATTATTTTCTCCTAAGTTTATTTACATTTTGATTTTCTATGAATTCACCTTCAAATTCATTACATTCAAGATATTCACTTTCAAGAAACTACATAAAGACGTAAGAGATCTATAAATAACATCATATGTGTTCATAAAGAAAAGATTAATCATCAACCGAAATTTCCAGAAATTGCATTTTCGAATCTAACTTATTAATTAATTTTTACCTCCGTATCCAACTACTTGGACTCTATCCAAAAATATCACATATATTTTTATAATGGTCCGCTGCTTTATAGATTTCAACTATTTCGTCATATATTTTTGGACAAATCTGATAAAAAATGTGCCAATGATATTACTGCAGAATCATGTTGTATGTTGATTTGTAGGCATTATAAAACAAGATATTTGAAATTTTTAAAAATTATTTAACATGAAGAAATAATAAAATTTATAAAATTTTTGCTTAAATGAAAAATTGAATAAAGAAGTTTCACAATCTTGAATTTACACAAATATGTACTTAAATGCTAAATAATGTTACAAGACATATTTAATTAACATTAAAAAAATTTATAGACAGCTTGCACAAATTTAGATTAATCGAACTGTATTGATGATTGAAGAAAATAAACGCTTAGGATTAAAGGCCGCCATAACTTTACCTTTATAAAAGTGCAGATTTTTAAAAATATTTAAATTTTCGTTTATACAATTTATAATCTAAAACAAAATGGAGTAGAACAACAAATTTGGTGGGGGATGAAGCCTTCTACTACTCGCAAATTCTAATGGAAATATATGGTTGATAGACAATGACTTATATATTTATTTCTTTATACGCAATTTTTAAATTTTTTTTCCAACGTGGGTAAAATTTTCACGTAGAAATCAGGCCACACATCCTAGAAAATATTTAATATACAAAAGAAATAAAAAAACGGAAGAAGAGATCAAGTCGAAATTAAAAATTTATTAAAGAAGTTGGAGGAAAATTTATGATGAATCAAAGAAATCTCAACGTGAACAAAATAATTTATTAAAGAAGATTTTGTCAATGTAGAACAAATAAAAAGCCTCGAAAGAGAATTACATTTTCTTCATTTGAGATTCTATACATCGACTTCAATCATATAACCATCACAACCCAACAAATGGCTTCACTTTTACAACCTTTACAACTACAACAAATAAATTCACCTTCACAACCATAACGGCCCTGTTTCAAAATTATGGATGAATATTTTAAATTAAAGAAGGAAAAAAAACTATTATGTTTATTATTTTTGATTTTTATTGAACCTATATTTAGAAACCAATCAAAAATGATTGATTCAAACCGTTATTATTGAATTGATTCATAAATCTGAAGAGAAGTCATAGCAAGATAATTATCAAATTTTTTTTTTTGCTATTTGTTTCAAAAATTTTATTTTATTAATTATTTAATTAAAAAATGACAATAATCAAATCTAAACTAAAAATCTAAATAAAACGAACGTCCAAATAGTCTAGTCGTATTATCAAACGAAATTAAAGAAAAAAATCGATGATACATTTCTTAGTTTACAGCTTTCCAAATTCGCATTAAATTTTGGGATTCATATATTCTTCACCTATATAAAAAAAATAGATTTATTTTAAGAATCAATGTTGGAATTGAAACAACCAGAAAAACAAAAAAAAAACCCTATAAATTTCTATACCATAATTGATTTTTACCATAATATTTTTACAAGCGTTCTGAAATATACAAATTAAAGACAGCGATCCAGTCTCATCTCATCAACTAAAGAAATTATTGCGATTCAATATGCTCCTCGTCGAAATTGATGCCAGGCCTTTTTATGCGATTTGGACTTATTGCTTGCAACCCAGTTTGGTGCCTCGTGCAAAAGAGAGAAATTTTTCACTAAAAAAAGAGAATAAAAAATCAGGCATTCCTATAAAATAGAAAGAGGCCTTTCAATACATTAAAGGCGTTTGTTAGTCAATATCTCAAATCTCCAAACAAGAAAGTTGTAGATAAAATAAATACTTATCTTCAAAATTCCCTTGCGACAGAATTTTGAAGTTTGAGGTGTAGAATTGGAATTAATAAAAACCTTTCAATGATTTAAGTCTGTTTAAAGTTAAATCATTATAACACGTTTATGCTTTGAAAAACAACAGCAACAGCAAGTAGGAAAAACAAGCTTGCCATTGAAACATTTTTTTTTATATTTTTTTTTTTTGTGCGTGAATCGAGTTGCAGTTTTTACATTTCTGATCTACACTATTATAACTTGATTGAATTTCTCAATTATCACGAACGATCAAAGTACTTATTGACCGATTCATTTTCTTGTAACATTAGATCATATGTTGTAGTTAGAAAAATCAAAGAAGTTTAAAGTATTTATAAAAATATATATCCATTAGTTGCGCAGTTTTATCTCTGAAAGGAAGATTGTTCAAAGTTTTGCAAATTTGTTTAATAACCTAAATCATTATGATTCTTATTCGGATCTGGTAAAAATGTAATTTTTTTATTTTTATTTTTTTTTTTGTAAAAATTTTAATCGCTTACTAACGACGAAAATTTTAATGTTATTTCAGAGCAGATCTCACTTCTACTTCAAGATATTCGTTATAGGGCTTGAAATATAATTAATAATGATAAATAAAATTTTTTTTTATTTCCATATATCAAGAACAAGCACTTCACTTTTTAAGCTATTATCTTTACATTTAAAACCCTTTGTACCCTCACCAACATTTAATACACTAACATCACTTTCGTTATAGTATAAACAGCGTCAAGAATTTTAACACTTGCACTAAATAATTGTTCCATTGCTCTTCTTTAGAAAGTCCGAAATTACTCTCATTTTCCTCAACATAATGCTCTTCTCTGGAAATGATTACCTGGAAAATCTCATAATCATGATACTAACACTAATAGGAGGTAAAATCTTCATCTACAGCTAAACCACCAGAGATCATGACCAATAACAATTTACATGACATATCAACATATCGAGAATTTTTACCCTACCCTACTTAAAATATAATCATATTGTTAATATTGAAAATATTAGTTGATCTGAAAAATAAAAAGAAAATTTAATTCTTGATTCAATTTTTTGTAGGTCATGAATTCTCTAATAATGAATCACGATGGTTTTTAGTTTAAAGGAATCATAGGAAGAAGTGAAGGAATTGACTTATGTGCAATAAATATAGAAGTTGCATATGGATCCGAGAGTATTCATACATTATGATTGGACAGAACTTCGTTATTATTATAATCTTCGCTATACTTCAAAAATATAAATAAATATATTTTGAATTTAATTTTTAACGTTGCGATGGAAGAAATCACAAAAGACAAACATCAATGTAAAACTGTCGGAAAAATAAGTTTTACTTTTGTATGTCAAATATGATTTCAGGATGAATATTCAGATTAGCATTAAATCTTTTTTTATTTTCCGTCAGTTTCCCCTTTTTATTGAAAGATCACATATTCCAACATTTCTTATTTTGGATAATAAACATTTAATAATAATCGTTGATAATCTAGAAACGAGTAAGGGTCGACAAATTTAACTTTGCATTGAACAACTTATTCGTTAAAACAAATGGTTATTACTTGGATTGCCTACAAATTAAATTTGTGCATGAGTAACATATTTAGAGTATGGTATGGTTTTAAAGCAATAATTTAAAATAAGAGCTGTATAGCATAGTATACCAAATCCTTTATACTTATAATTTAAAGAAAGTTGTTATTTTATTTCTTTAAAATGTACATTGTGTATCATATATTTTAAAAGAATAAAGATAATCTAGTGTCATGAAGAGAAAGAAGGATTGGATTGACTGCCAACCGCAAAGGATTTTAATAGATTTAAATATATTTCTCCAAATGGCATAATTATTTATAAAAAAAAATAAATAAGGAAGGAGATTGTATCCCTATTGAAATAGTCTCAATAAATTTATTTTACTTGACAAGTTCAATACACCACTAATGAAAATAGATAAGTTTTAATACCAATGGGACTCTAAAATAAATAATATTAAAATCAACATCAAATAATTGCATACCTCATCATTACCTCCTAACCTTTCGCTATGGCAAACAACCTCTTGATAAGTGTCGTTTTTAATAGTGAACTGTAATTCATGACTGCGTAAAAATTGTAAAGGTTCTCCTCCATATTTGGTACTAAGATTAATAATATCGTTTGATCTTAAATATCCTTGATAATTTTCTAATTTACTATTCTTGAAATTCCATTTGGCACTATAATTGTTACAACACACTAAACAAAAAATTAATATTTTACTTTTACCTATCAAATAAAAAATAATTTAAATAAAATTTAATGGTTACCTTCTGTGTTCCCGGTTGATGGAGATTTTGTTTCACGGCCACAATTTGTAAGATAGCAACTAGAATTCTTGTGTTGTAGATATATAGGAGTGTTGTCGGTGTAAGAAGCCAATTCTTGATTATTAAAACCCGTATCGTTAATTTTGATTATCCATAAACCGTTCCGATCAAGTACTAAATTACTTGCAAATACCTAAACAAAAGATAATTGCATAAATATTGAATGATAAATTAAAATTGTCGATACAAACAAGCATACCATTTGAGACCCGCTTCCAGTAGAATAATAATATTTTCCAATTGAACTCAGATATTTTCCGGTAGCCACATGTTTTAAGGCTATGATGGAGTCATATCTGATTAAATTTGATTCGTCTATAACAATTTCCTCAAATTCTTTCATTAGCTCATTTGTAGATTTAATTTTCTCTTTCTTCTTAGAAAATTCAGTTAAAAAGTAATTATTTGGAAGTGATTGATAAAGGTATTTCTTTTGTTCTTCCACATCGATTTCTGCATTATAGCATAATTTACGAAAATTTGAAATATACTTTGATGTTTCTCCACCTTCCCTTTCGGGAATATATTGTAATAACTGCAATTTTCTTTTATTTGTATTTTTGAAGATTGTAAACGAGATGTCATCTTTGAGTGCTTTTCGAAGTTTTTCAATATCATTAATTCCAGTTGGGAGTTTGATAGTGGCATCAACAAAAGGTATAATATAATGGTAATAATTATTAATTTTATAATGATGATTATTAATAGCTTTATAATTATTAATTTTATAATTATAATAAAAATAATTTTTAATATCATTTAACCATTCATCTGGATGAATATTTCCATCATATTTTGTTAGGCTCATTTTTATTAGGGTTTAATGGTTTCAAAGTGCTGAATTTAATAAATTAAAAGTTCTACAATAAAAAAAAAAATGTACGCCATTTCCATTGTTACCATTATATCCTAATTTGAGTCATACGTCATCATAATATAGAGTCACGAGATAAAGTAAATCCTATGATTCATAACTACCAATATTTTAAAATTTTTTTCCTAACCCAAAAGAATTTCTTTTAAAAAATAATTAAAAATGTCGACAAAATGTTTCACAAAATATATATTAAATGATGATGTATATTACGATATCATAATCGAAGACGTGAAAATCTTCCGTGCACATGTGACATTGTGTTTCCGTTCTTGAGATAAAAAAAATAAAGCTGACGAGACGACTAAATTATTTTGAAGTACGTTATTTTTAAACTGATCCATGCTATTTTTTATATTGATAAATAACTTTGGAGACTTTATTATATTTCTGTTGGAATCATTTCATTATATGAGTATGAAACCTCGGAAATTTTTGGTGTTTTAGTTGCGGCTAACGTGCTTCTCCTTCGAGAGCTAGTTTAAGTATTTGTCAAAATCTTTAATTAAAAACAAATCAGTATGGATTTAACGAACGAACTTATTCAAAAAATTTTCAATCTAATTCTTTATTTGTACAGTGTGGCTAAATCACCTGACAATGTATTAGCTTTCTTATTTTTCTGAAAAGGTTTTGATTTTATTTACCAAAAGAGATGACATGCAAATGAAAGAAGTTGAAATATGGGAACACGTATTAAAATGGGGACTTGAAAAAAATCTCACCCTCATTTCAGATCTTAAAGCTTGGTCAGATAATGATTTTAAAATGATGAAAGATACTTTACATCCTTGATCCTTAATTAAATTTTTCTGTTTGTCATCTCAAAAAAGTTCATTTCATTCATATAAAAGATTTTTCAAAGATCAACTTCATGAAGATTTATTAAATTCCTTATTTGGATCCTAATAGCGAAAAAATGTTAGTAGCACTGAGAAAAACATTTATCTGAAAAGTTAAATTATTAATTAAATTCTTTTTTGGCAACTTTATCCAGCAGCATAATTGAACATGAATGATTTAATAATATTGTATTTCCCGATTTGATCAAGTACCGACATAAAGAATATCTGCTAGCTCCAAACCTTATTTTTTCTTGAAAACTTTTATTCATAATAATATTTTTTTTTTATAAAAAATTTAATATAATCTATAAAATCATTTTCCAAAATATGGTCTAATTCTTTATAATTTAATGCATGATCAAATTGCGTCTTGATAAATTATTTCCTTATTTTAAAAGGATATAACAAAACTATTTTAAGTTTTACTTCATTCATTTGTATACAGTCGACCCCCTCTATAATCACCAGATATAGTCACATCCCCCTTTATAAGCACATTTACGTTGGCCTAAGTTACTAATAAACTTATTAAAAAAATCTCCCTCTTAAGTCACGCCATATAGTATTTTTATAATCACACCATTTTTTTTCGGTCCCAAGGGGTGTGACTATATAGAGGGTCGACTGTATTTCCATATAAGAGGATTATAACTTTTCTAATGCATTACGAAGACAGATTTCTATAATGTCTATCAGAATCTCCACTGATGAAAAAAAATAATGTTTAAAATTTTTGGTTGGTCAAAAGGAAAAAATGAAAAAATGAAATTAGAAAAAAATAATGATCTCTTCACGAATCGAATATGCATAATAAAAATCATTAGCTCGTAAGAATGTTTTTGAGCTTATAAGCTTCAAATAAATTATTATTTATAATTGCCTTCACAATTCTTCATGCACTGATATGCGGTATTCATTTTATTGATAAAAGACTTTACTTTTAATTCGTATAAAAAATATATTTTGATTGAAACAAACGCGCATCTACTTTTTGAAGGATCTTTATCAGTTATTTTTTTTTCGTAAATATAAAATGATGTTGGATTTGAACCAATCAGAAAAACTAGAAAATTTAAATTCTAGAAATTCCTATATCTTATTTATTTTATATGTCGCTTATTCTTCGCCGCATTAGAAAAAACACCGCGAAACTCATTTCAATCATCACCACAAATGAAATATTAATTATCGAGGACCTCCTCTTGTCATAATTGCTTGGAAACTAGTTTTGTTACTAAAAAAAAAGTTAAAAATGTTACCAAAGCTAATATGAATTGTGGTATTGTTATAACACACAAAGTTGATTAGTCATCGCAAAAAAATAATAGCAGGATGTTTTTTCAATACAATAAAAGCGTATGAAAGTCACGAACGATCCTACACCACATATCCGTCCTAAGATCTCAAAACAAGAAATGTAATCCAGAAGAAGTACCCTCGACAAAGGGACGGTTTGATTATACGTATTTTCTCTTTAATATATTTACCTTAGATTTATTTATCATTGCAAGGAAGGATAAAAACAAATTGACAAATATATCAAAATAAAGAATAATGTCATCAAAAAATTCTCATTATTTCTTTCCAAACTTTTCTTACTAATTTCTAAACTTTTTGAAAGATGAAGGCTTGTTATTGTTTTGAATAGTTTACGTTGCCTCAGTAGGAAAGCGAGTGTAAGAAATAAAAAAGTAAGCACGATGATACACTCGTCTTATTAAACAATGAAATGGAAATGAATTCAAAGTAACGATATATTTGACCAAATGTCTTCTGGCCAAATGCTTTCTAGACAATAAAGTCGTTGATAAAATCAAATCTAAAATAGAAGTGGTTCTTCGCCTTTGATGAAACGTAGAATAAAGTAAAAAGATTAGTTGGTATAATTCTTCCTTGTAATAGTAACAAACACTAAATAATAAACGTATACAGGCTGAGGATTGAAGCAATACCTTATTTAATATGTTTTAGATTAGTATTTTGTTATTTTTTTTATAAATTCAATTGAAAATTATGAAATTTCTAAACCAATCAAAAAAAAATTTTTTAATAGACTTGATTAATGCCATCTTTGATAGTGATAGTCTAGTTATGACACACGATACTGCGTCAATCATAGTTAGCGATTCTATAAATTATTTAATTTCTATAATTTATATAATTTCTTAGCGATCTATAATTTCTTACATTTCTTTAATATTTTTAATTTCTTATATATATTTAATTTCTTTACTTTATTAAATATCTATTTCATATTAATGTATTTTATAAAATGCTCTGTAACTTTGCCTTGGAAAATGGTAGAGTCGTTACAAATCTCTAATAAAACAATTAATTTTCTCTTAAAGCATAATATTTGCTCATTTATAATTCATTCTTCTTTAAATTTATATCAATAAAGACGATCTGACCCTTCAATCTAATTAATTCATGTTTATTTCTTTTATAGATTAGACGTAATTAAACTCCCTGTTAGCAAATACGTTTTGTTAACTTAACGACGTACCGTTTAAGCTTAAAACTTCCCTCAATACGATTGGCTATCTCTTTTACTCTCTTATCATTTTTAATTATGACTCAAAAAAAGAATTTTAAAACAACTTCTATAACCTTAACTCCAACTACTCACATCTCTTCTTTTTCCAACCTTACAAATAATGTATCATTGCAACAACAATAATATTCTGCTACACAACGGGTCCTTTAAATGAAGTGGCAAGATATACAAACCCTCCCTTTAATGAAACAGCAAGACATCCGGTTTAATTATATATGAGAGATAATAAACTCAAAGGTAGTGTAAAAGGGAATGGAAGTGAAAGAGTATGCGTGAACAATCTCTTTTTATACTCCATAGATGATAAATTTTGGCCAATCAGCGCAACTCTATTAAAAAAGATGGTTCGTAGTTTTTTTGACACAAGTGATCATCGTACTTGATTTTTTAACCAATCAGATCATTTGAGTGAGTATCAACCTTGAAATCTTTTCATAAATTTTTAGGAAAAAATTATATTTTGAATCATAAATAATTATTGTAGTTAAAAAAAGATATCAAAAAGACTGTTTATTACAATATCCTTTCGACTATTATTGTTAATACTGTGTTAATATGGCATAGGTTAAAATTTTACTTGTTAAAATAAGATCTTGAATTTCGTCCTAAGTCGATAAGATAAATAATCTTAACAAATGTGGTAGTGCTGGATATAACGTAAGTATCTATCTATACCGGTTCAAATGACATTGTTAAAAAGACACACGCATTCGACTATTTTATGAACATTATTTGACGGAATTAAAGATGCTGATATATTATAATTCTTGCTAGCAGTAGATAAACTAAACGATCAAACTTTAATCCTATGTATCCATAATACTTGATACAACACGACCCTATAGGAACTCTTGAAAAATTTTATCAATATGAATTATTCACCGAACTTTATAAAATTTGTCTCAAAATAATTTGTCACGAACCTAAAATGTTATTAGAATCAGATAAATTATTTGGTTTAAAAGCATCTTTGATGGAATTTATTTTAAGACAGGATATGGAATTATACGAAATAATCATTTGGGTACTTTTAATAATGAGTAGAGGCAAGCACAAAATTATAAAGAAAGGAGCTCTTGTTAAAATATCCTTTTAATAGATTGCTACCAGAAGGCTTCTGATAACATATGGCGTTACATATTGCTTCCATATAGGGAAGTAAATGTTGATTGCTACCTCTTAAAAAAAGATATGGATCAATGATAATTAAACCTCAACATTTTGCCGTATTTACCAAATGGATTTATGGGAAAAAGGCATTTTCACAAAAGTATTCCTTATGACTCAAATTACTCTATCGTGTTAGTAGGGACAGAATGGATAGACGAGACGTTTCACAATAAATGTGATTACGATGGGCATTTTATTTTTTTTTGCGAAATTAAGGGATCCAAAGGATCCAATCAAATTGTAGGAGTTATAAATCTTTTGTATTGGTTTAAAAAACATCAAAAGTTTTATCTTTTCCGTTAAAGATCATAGAGATGTTAAATCGGGTATACTATCTTGAATAATGAAGGGTAGTGAAAAGCATGCCATACAATATATTGTTACAATGGCTTTGGATTGCGATTAATGCGAGAAAGTAAAAAACACACTCTCCTTTTAAATTTTATTTAAAGTTGTATCAGCTCAAGCTGAATAGGCTTGAATAATTCGAATTAATTATATATAATTTAACTTGAACCTGGTAAATTTTCAGATGTTAAATATTGATCAGAGAAGAGCCAGGCATTAGAATTACATTCAAATATTTTGATTTCTAGCATTTCCACTAATTTTCTAATTTTATGAACTAACAACTTCAATCATATACGAAATTGGCTTAAATGTAATGATAACATGGACAAATATTGCGGTTTTAATAACTTCAAAATTATGAAACAAAATTTGTTCATTGTGTATTCAGTTTCATTAAGTTCGAAGCAATTGTACCTTCTTACTTAGGGTAACGATTATAACCATCATCATAGCTACATCTGAACTATGTTATATTGTTTTAATTCAAACATTTATTAAAATTAAGATATAAATCCTTGTTGATCTATAACACGTTATTAATAGCAAACCATACGGTGTATTGAATTCTCGAATAATAATTTTTCTTTAAAACAGGCTCAACGATTTGAACAAAAGTTTGCAATAAACAAACATTCGAAACTATAAATCTTTATATTATTTGCATTGGAGGTAGAGATTATTAAATTTATTTATGTAATGAATTAATTCGTTGCAGAATAATTTTCTTAATTTTACATATAATATCGGAGGTTTTCTATTAAAATTTATGTTCAGATCATATGATTTACTATGCCTTGCAACCTAATTTTAATAGCAAATGACCCATGTCACTAAACATTAATGGGTTATTTTCATAATCTTTGTTTATTGGTTTATAAACTATTTGAAGGTTAAACATAACTATTATCTTCAACATTTCTGAGTCATTTGTCAACAAGAGTTGCTTTGAAGTAATTCATATACTTTCGCTTTAACATAAACCCTTCATTGTTGCATGGGAATGTTTTTTATCTAGAAAATTTTCTGGAATTATCGAGCCAGCTCTATTATTATTAAAGGTAATGAATATATTATCATAGACTAATGTGTATCAATGGAAAGTCTCATTGAAAGTTACATTTTGGTAACGAATTGAAAAAAATTTCATCGAGAATTTCAATAGAATATTTTCCGATGAATTTCTTCCATAAATTAGATTTTTAAAGTTAGAGGAAAATAAACGTTTGTAGTAAGCAATTCAATTGATTTTACACTTAAAAATATAATTTCTCGTGATACATGTGCAATTGGCGTGGCAAATAAAAACTCTTAATTAGGGATGGTAACGGTCGGTCATGGTCGGTTCACGGTCGGTCAACGGTCGGTCAAAGGCCTTTGACTGACCGACCGGTTGACCGACCGGTTTTGCTGACCGCATTTAACAATAATATAATTTAAAGTTCTTGATTGATAATTTTAATTTATGCTTTAAATAATACTAACATGGCATTTGCTAAAACTTACTATTTTACTTACTTATTCCTTTTAGGCAAACTTGATATGCATATTAAGTTTACTTTCATATTTTTAGTGATGCAGCTTATCGCGATCTTTTTTTTAAGAATAAATTAAAATTTTTTATTTTTAAAAAATAACATCACTAAAATTATTGTTAATTAAAGCAAAAAAGTCTTGGATAACTAATTAAAAAATGTTGGTCAATCGGTCGGTCAAAATCGGTCGGTCAGTAACCTTTGACCGACCGATATCGGTCACGGTTATGACCGGTCATGACCGGTCATGACCGTAACCATTTGTATCCCTACTCTTAATGTAAATCATTTGACAGTTACTATATGGGTGGTATTCTATTAAAATTGAGGTACGAGACATAATGATCCGTACCTCAATTTTAATAGTTTAATCGTCTGGTAGCTTATTTTTATATCGGGTTATTAAATCCTGAACTGGGTCAAACTTATTTAATGCAAGCGAATCCGTCTGATTCCAACCCTTATTCCACTTCATAATCGAAATTTTGATTATTATAAAGATGATTTTGCTTTCAAAAATTATTCATGAATTTCATAGAAAATTTTAAACTGATTATAGGTACGCATAAAATTCCAAAGTTTATTTCAAATATAATGATTATTATTCTATAACATTATGTTCAAATAAACTAATATTACGAAATATTTAAATTACAGACTAAGAAACTTTTTTATCTAATCTTAGTGTTTAAATAAAAATCATCGATGGTTACTTAAAATAAAATTATTTCAACTCCAACATTTGTATTAAATTTCAGTATTAAAATATAAAGTAAAAACATAAATATTTGTGAATATACAATACAGTATTATCCTTATAATAATTTACATAAATTTTACCTTCAGGAATTTCCAATTTATCTTGATTTTCTGAATGAAGATTTGAATTATTGCATATTTCTTCATCATCTATAAATTCAATAAATTAAGTATATAATAGGTAATAGAATAATTTAAATAGATATATTTATTTTTTACCATCATTTACGATATGGCTTTTTTCCATATACTGCGTTTCAACTTCATTATTTATATAGTTTACATAAATTCCTAAAATAATAAATTATTATTAAATCTTAAAAATTTTAAAAAAAGTTTTTCTATTAAAAATTATCTTTGTTATTAATCAATTTTATTTTTTTAGATTCACAATTTTCTATTGAAAGGAAAAAATTATTATTATAAATACTTGATTATTTGCTATTTCTAACAATAATAAAAAGCTATTACCATCGAAATTGTTTGAAGCAATCCTTTTAGATTTGCCCTTATTTATATCTAAGTTACAAAGTTTTTAATTAATTAGATTTTATAAACTGAACTCAAAAATATAATATTTTAATAATAAATCTTACCAACTGATATTTTCGGATTATTTTGCTCATCGTAATCCTTGGATATTTCTTTAATAAAATAAATTAATTAAATTTTATTCTGATAAATATAATATATAATATATAAACTATTATACTTACTTACTGGAATACTAAGACTATTTTGTTTACTATCAGCTAATTTTTTTTTAAATATTAATTTTAAATATTTAAAATTAAATAATTCCAATAATCTTAATCAGCAATAATTTGTAATGAATAAAGTTAGTGACTTACATTCGTCAGCATTTTTTGGTTCAGGTAAATCTTTAAAAATATGAATTTTACTAAATTTACTAACAAATGAACTAATAGAGCTAGCATTTATATTAACAGTTTCATTAGATTGTATACAATTAATAATAATACCATTTTCTTCATTTTCATTTTGGTAATATAAATTTCTCATTTGTAAGATTTTATTTCTAAGAATATTAATTTTTGGTCATTTAAATGGATCAGCATCCCAACATTGTACCATTAAATTTGCATATTCCAATGGAGTTCCTGATACGATTTTTGGTCTCATTCCATTCATTATATTCATTACAAGATCATAATTATGTTCTAAACCAACAAATGGTTGTTTTCCAGATGAAATTTCCCACATAAGCATACCGATACTATAAATGTCTGATGCAAAAGTATATCCTTTTCCAAATATAACTTCGGGTGCTATATAAGGAAGATTTCCATATATACTTCCTAATGGTTTATCAGCAGGGCCGCAAAATCCAAAATCACTAATACACCAAATATCTATATTTTTACAATATAATATATTTCCAGAATGCAAATCTCTATGAATGGAGTTTTCTTGGTGTAGTCGTAAAATTGCATTAATTATGAAAGTAACTATAACGACTCTTTGTTTCCATGTCAATTGATTATTATTTTGCTGTAAATAGTTTCTTAAATCATAATTGTATAAACTCATTACAAAAAAATAATCTTTATTTTTTGGATCCTGAGTAAGTCCATAACTTTCAATAAACTGTCCCCATTTACTGCTTAAAGTTAGTTGAGATTCAGCCTATTAAACAGAATAATTATTTTTTATTTAAACAAACTTTAATTATTCATTTTTATAATTACTTTAAATTACATACCTCTTCAAACCAGATTCTGTTAGCACTTTCAATATTTTCTAATCTTTTGAGTATTACATTAGAATTGCCAAATCTTGTTAATTTTCGTTCGATAGATTCCCATTTGTTATAAGGACCATCAATCAAAGCTGCTTTATAAATTTCAGAGCATCCACCTTTAGTAAGATATTCAATATTTTGTATATTATTGTACGGGATCCATTCAATTATTCTATTTGGAAGAACAGCTTCTGACTGACATTTCTGTATTAAATTATTAATTTCGTTATTTCCAGATGTCCATTCTGAAAATTTTGCTTTTAAATAACTTCGAATACATTGCTCACAATATAATGTTGCTAAACATTCTAGTTTACAGTTTTCACAAACTCTTTTTATTCCTTGATTAAGGGTAATTTTTTCGTAGTCATTCTGCCCATTTAATAATCTTATTGCCTCTGATTTTTCATCTTTTGTGAGCGATGTGTCAGTATAAATTGTTTGTTTTATAGTTTCATATAGCTTATCTAAGTCTATTTGAAGTTTATAATCAGTTAATGCATATGCTCTATTAATTGCTGCGTTAACCAATTCTTTATTAATAGAGGCCATAATAGAAAAAATAGTTTTTCAGAAAAGGAAAGATAAACGGTGTGAAAATTCCGGCTTTATACCGAACGAATACACTGCACTGTAGTACGTCTGTCACACAACTACCAAAAGGCCAGATTTCGTAATTCTGCATGACGAAGTGTAACTTGAACTGCATTGCATGTTTAATTACGTTATCAATAAAGACATAAAATTAAAATATCTTTGTTCTTTCTAGGTAATAATACAAATTCTATTTTATGATAAGGAAAAGTTTATATAGTGTCAAAAATAAAAATAAAAATAAATAAGCTATAAAATAACTTCATATATGTAAGTAACATAACTACGTGACATTTTTTGTAAGTAATTGAAAGTTAAGAGAAACTTGGCTATCTTCTCACTACATGAACAAAGATTTGGATATAACTTGTAATAATCTTTAATACAAATTCTTGACTGCATGTATTATTTTATGATATGTATAAAATATGTATTATATATATTTGCATTATGATGCAATGTTGAAGTAGATTGTAAGAGTGCAGCCAATATCTCTAACAATCAAATATAAAGCCATTCATCGATTCCGAATAGGGATTGGAATCGATTCTACAAAACCAAATTAATCGAGAAAATCGAATAATGAATAAAATCATATTAATACATTAGTCGGACTTTATTATATTAAGGGTGCCCGTACTGATACGGTTTAGAATGTTCTTCGACAATTCATTTATTTATTTCAAGGAAAAATTTATTTATTAAAAATCGAAAAACCGATAAAAAATAAAAACTAAAAAAAGAATGCTCACAATGAATATAAAAATTAATAAAATGATCAAATTAAAAGAAAGATAAAACTTGAAAAAGAATAAAAAAAAAAAATAATAATAATTAACGAAACTAAAATAAATAAACAAATGTTTCGTAACTACCGAAATGCCTAACCGAAACGTAGTATGATCCGAATTTAAAGGTCATAAGATGATCAAATATATTGATAAATCTACTGTAAAATTTTTTATTGGTCCCTGTACATAATATCTACCGCCAAAACAAAAATATCTAATCGCCTACATAAATTGTTTTGACTTCTTGATCATCGTTTTCTTTGTCATAAATCTTTGTATACTTGAACTTAAAACTTTTGGTTTTCTTAATAAACTTTGATCATCTAACATATGGATACCATCAAAAAAAAGGAAATAATAAAAATCAATGTTCGCGGATATTTGATGGTAAAGGAACGGAAATTGTGTAAACATATTTTACTAGTGTAGTGAAAAAAGAAAATCAGAAGGATGCAAAGGCCGTACAGTAGCGAACTTATGTAAAAACTTGCAATGACATTACGCCACAACACCGCATATACATTACATTAAGTCAATTATTATTATAAGCAATATTATTTTTGGTGAGAATTATTTTTTCCAAGAGAATTTCCGAATTGTTTATTAATTTAAAACTCTGGTTTTTGCATTATGTTAGTGTTTTAAATTATTAATTAATTACTAACTCAAGTTAAGCGAAGCGTCATTTCAATAAATGTTATTTATTTACTTCATAACAATGAAAAATAATTTTTATTTTCAAGTCGTTTAAAGTAGTTTATATTCATAAGTGATGTTTAAAAAGCAATGACAAGGAAATTTTATTGAAGCAGTGCATACGATATAAAGCAATAAAGGAAAATATTCTATCCATTTATACGGTTCCATTTTCAAACATTTACGAACCTGCAGGAAGGAATGGCTTGTATTTTGAATATTCCAATACTTGCGTTTTCTTCTGACGAACGTATTATTTTATTTTAATTTTTTTTTATTCAAAATATGAATAATTTTGTGCGATGTTTTCGAGATAAATGGATCTTGTTCAAATTATTATCTTTCAAATGAATTGTCATAAAACATAACATAATTTATAGAGATAATTACGAAACAAAAGTTAGAAGCATCGTAACTAATTATAATTATATTTAATTTTGTAACTCGAAATAAATGTTACTATATAAATGAAAATATTTACAATACTCTAAATTCCCTTAATCAACTTTTAAGATTAATTAGATGGAAGAGTACTTTATATCTACCATAAATTTTGATTTAATAATAATAAATAATAAAAAAGAATTAAAAAATTTTATCATTAGCCAACAGGCGGCCTCGATAATTCGGATCACATATGATAAAAAAAAAAATACGATATATCAAAAATTGCTATCGAGATCACACGTGAGATTCATGTGATTTTAGCTAAATTTTTAAAAAGTACCACCGAAAATTGAAAGCGCAAGTTTCAAACATTTGTTGCGTTAATGTCCGAGATGATTATTTCAGATAACTGGACTGTCCTAAATGACTATTCAGACCATGCCATTTCGGATTAATAACCACTTCGAACCGTCTCAAGTGACCACAGACACATAGGAGACTAGGGATATTTATTATGTTCCATAACGGAACCTCTGCTTTGGATGTCTGATATTGTTCGTTCGGATCATTTAAAAAGTCATTTTGGATATTGATTAAATTTAACACATGATTTGTTTCCAAGAAATAGATGCATATAAAAAAATATTTATTATACGTGTCTAAAATAGTGTGATTCTGATTTTATCAGAGGTCGAGCACTACCTGTGTGGGTTTTGTTTCTCCTTTGGTTAGATCAATATTTTTCTTATTTAGTTTTGGCTTGTACCGGAAATAAGCATGGTATTTTTTTTTGCTATAATTTATATTGTATGATAGTTAAAAAATGCTATATTTTAGCTTTTGTGAAATATTTTTTTTTAAAAAAAATGGAAAAATAATTTGTAATAATTTACCCGAAAATTTTACGCGTCATCGTTGTCAGCAATAAACTTTTTTATTGCATGATGTAACGCATAAGGATCTTATATTTCCAACACCTTTTTTCTTTTTGCATGCCACTTTATTCTGAGGCAAAATTATCACTTTTATTTTAGTGGGATTATAGCCAGATATTGTGCATAATAGTATCAAGAAGTGAAGGTTTTCGAAAGTAAATCACGAGAATAAAATCGGTGAGTAAATGTTTGTTGTGTGTTGTGACAACAATCTATTCTCCTAACTCACACCAATGGGTTTTTCTACCCCATCTTTATCCCAAAATGCAATAGTTATTTTATAGATGAAAAGACAATACAAATCGAAAAAATAGAAGTTGCTCGTATGGAGAATAAAACCAAAATATAATGATGTAAATTACTTAGATAAATTATTTTTGTTTTACCAGTTAAGGTTCATCCGGGTAATATTAATTCCTATAAAAAATAAGTAAAGAAATAAATAACTTTGAAAGTTTGAACGAACTCTTGAATGACAAATAGTATGATATTTTTTTTTAAGAAAATAAATAATTTCGATCACAGGAATTTTCTGTTTAAAAAAAAAGTTTGTGATCAAATCACAGCGTGTATGCATTTATATTTCACTTCGATATTTACTGGATTTATTATCGGAGTTGAATTTCCTAGAAATTATCAATTTTTCGATTTTTCGTCATTACCGGGATATTATTTGAAAATCAAATTATTTATTGACATAGCATAGTTTATTTAAAATAAAAGACTTCGGTAATATGATAAGCCTAAATAAATAAAAGATACCATTTTGATAATGACATTCGTTAAATGTTTTTCATAGTAGTAATATAACTTGCCACTAGATTTTCTAATATAGATATAACCGAAATAAATTTTATATCTTACATCTCCACTTGCAGATAAGGATCGATTATCTTTTCGATAATATACAAAATGTTCAAGCTAGTATTCGTTGCTTTTTGTATTTTGTGCACGTAAGATATATTTTATTCAAATGAAATACTTTCAGATATTTGGGATGTAAAATATTGATTATTTAGAAACTAAATATTGTTTATGATAATTTGATTTTATTTTAATTTTTAGAGAAAGGTGAAAAAGCATTTTAAAAAAAAACTGATGGATGACAAAATTTATTATTTTTTAGATATTAATAGCCGGTCGAATCGACCCAGTTCCCCCTACAATTTGACCAAAAGGTAAATTTACTGAACATTATGATTATTATGCTATTTATTATTATTTTTATAAAAAATGCGCTAGAAGAAGATAAAAGTTTGAAATAAAAAGCTCCTCAACTATAGTTACATTATAGAATCAAACAAGTGTGATTTTCGAATCAAAAAAGTACAATTATCAAATCAAAAAAGGGACGTGGTCAATGTATTACAAATTCTTGAATCAAAAAGGGCAAACACCTATTTTATTGATACAAGAAAATAGCTAAAGTCTTACCTTTCGTAAGTGTATTTAAGCAATGTTGTGGATTTCCTGTAGCTTATTCAATACTTCTTTAATAATACGCATTCTTCCCAGTTTGATCGTAATAATCAAATAATAAAGAATTATAATAATTAAATGACCACTTCCCATATAAAACAAATTCAAAGTAATTCTCATAGGAGTTAATTGAAAGAGGTTAAAGTTTAACAATTAGATCTGGTTTAAAAAAGTATGTTTACAAATAAATTTGTAGAGAGCAGTATTTACTCATAACATAATTTAAGAATCACAAATCATATCCGTGAGTAGGGATATAATTTGGTTGATTGGTTAGTTTTTGGTTTGTGAAACCCTATTTAGCGCTAATCACGGTTTTTTTTAACCAATAGCTAAACTGAACGATAATATGTAAACATTGTTAAAACTTGAACTGTTCATCGTTAAGTTAACAAAGATTATTTGCTAGCAGGAAGTTTAAGTACGTCTAAACTATGGAAGAAATAAACATGACATGAATAATTAAATTGAAGGGTCAGGTCGTCTTTATTGATATATATTTAAAGAAGAATGAATTATTAACAAGCAAAGATAAGTTTTAGAGATAAATATTATTAGAGATTATAGTAACACTGCCCTTTTATCAAGGCAAAGATACAAGATATTTATATAAATTACATCAATATGAAATAGATATTTAAGAAAATAAAGAAATATAAGAAATATAATAAAATAATGAAATTAAAATATTAAAGAAATGTGTGAAATTAGAGATCACTAAGAAATTAGTGAAATTAGAGAAATTAGAGAAATGGTAGAAAGTTGAGAATCATGATCATTAAGATTACCATTTGTCAATTATGTTTGGTGCAGTATCGTGCATCATAACAAGACTATCACTAATAAATTTGCTTTTATAAAAAAAAAAAATAATTTTTTTTAAAATCTGCCATTTTTCTGCAATATAATTTTTAGATATATGATTATGTAATGTAAAAAAAAAATACCATTATTCATTATTACCAATATTTTTATTTTGCTAACTTTTCAGCCATTTAACTTTTTTAATCATAACAGTATTAATGCAGTATCAAGATCAGATCAATTATGCAGCTTTAAAATTATAAGTCCCGCAATTGAAAAGATTGTTCATATGACACACTGGTAGCTTGAATAGTAAGATAATCTTATGTCATCAATAAAATAGGAAATTGTTTTTTATGAATTGTCTACCATTCTAACAGATTACATCCATTATTTGTAAGTAAAGCAAGATATTGTTATAATTCATTATTTATGTTAGGTTGTGCAATAGGTTGAAATTGATTAGCAAGATTTTAAGTATATACGAGTATTAATTTCTTTATGCTCTAAATAGTTTTTTTAGCTATGTAAATACTAGTTCATTTTATTTCATATTATAGATATATCGTTATTTGTTTTTTTACCAATTATAAAAATTGAACACTTGATACGATGATCTAATATCATTATAATTTTAGTAATACTACTGAATATTAAATAATATTCATCAAATTTATACTAGATTGAAACAGCAAAGAGATATTGAGTCATACTATTAGTGATTTCATGTTCCAAGTGTTGTTTTAAGATCTAAAAAATAAAATGAAGATCTCTGATAGTTAAAAATAAAGAAGAAAAATCAATGTAGCATAATACATAGAAAATAAAACAGAGATTGATTCCTATTAAAAATCTTGTTAAATATTTTGTATATATATAACAAAATATATTTTAATATAAACATTTATATTTATCTATTTATCATTAGTTAAATACATATTAACAAAATCATTTGAATATTATATATTAGCGTGAGTTTAAATTTTATGCTTAATTCATCATACATTTTATGATCACATGCTATCATAACAAAATTTGCAGTTAAAGCTAAAACTTTTATAGTAAGATTGTATTTAATTATTAAATACAAACGAACCCATAATTATTTATAAAAAGAAATCAAAAAAAATCTATAATTGTTGATAAATCTGACATTATGATAAAAAATTATTATTGTATGTTAATATCTAATCAAATCAAAATTACTACATCATAAGGATTTGTAAAATGTTAATATTATCAACTCTTTTAACATTTTTAACATTTTTTATATATTTATATTTCTTATATTATTTATTTATTTATTTGTTATTATAATTAACGTAGTTTTACAAATATGTATGTTAATTATTTTATTATTATAAATTATTTATTTTTAAATAATATTACATATAGATTTTCTTATATTTTTATTTTTGACTAAATAAGATAATGTATAGCTTATATGAAAGGATAATTCAGAGTATGTTTTCAAGAATTCATATAAGTATTTAAAGGTTTGTAATCATAGAGTAAAGGATTTTAAGTATACAAAAATTTACAATAAAGGAATCTTTCTTTTTAAAC